CACATAGACCAATGGTATAGAATAGAGACTCCAGAATTGGACCCACAAAAGTATGGCCAACTAATCTTTGACAAAGCAGGAAAGAATATCCAATGGAAAAAAGACAGTCTCTTTAACAAATGGTACTGGGAGAACTGAACAGCAACATGCAGAAGGATGAAACTAGACCACTTTCTTATACTATTCACAGAAATAAACTCAAAATGGATAAAGGACCTGAATGTGAGGCAGGAAACCATCAAAACCCTAGAGGAGAAAGCAGGAGAAAACCTCTCTGGCCTCAGCCACAGCAATTTCTTACTTGACACATATCCAAAGGCAAGGGGATTAAAAGCAAAAGTGAACTATTGGGAACTCATGAAGATAAAAAGCTTCTGCACTGCAAAGGAAACGATCAACAAAACTAAAAGGCAACCAACGGAATGGGAAAAGATATTTGCAAATGACATATCGGACAAAGGGCTAGTATCCAAAATCTATAAAGAACTCACCAAACTCCACACCCGAAAAACAAATAATCCAGTGAAAAAATGGGCAGAAAACATGAATAGACACTTCTCTAAAGAAGACATCCAGATGGCCAACAGGCACATGAAAAGATGCTCAACATCACTCCTCATCAGGGAAATACAAATCAAAACCACACTGAGATACCACCTCATGCCAGACAGAGTGGCCAAAATGAACAAATCAGGAGACTATAGATTCTGGAGAGGATGTGGAGAAACGGGAACCCTCTTGCACTGTTGGCGGGAATGCAAACTGGTGCAGCCGCTCTGGAAAACAGTGTGCAGGTTTCTCAACAAATTAAAAATAGATCTACCCTATGACCCAGCAATAGCACTGCTAGGAATTTACCCAAGGGATACAGGAGTACTGATGCATGGGGGCACTTGTACCCCAATGTTTATAGCAGCACTTTCTACAATAGCCAAATTATGGAAAGAGCCTAAATGTCCATCAACTGATGAATGGATAAAGAAGTTCTGGTTTATGTATACAATGGAATACTACGTAGCCCTGAGAAAGAATGAAATATGGCCTTTTATAGTAATGTGGATGGAACTGGAGAGTGTTATGCTAAGTAAAGTAAGTCATACAGAGAAAGACAGATACCATATGTTTTCACTCCTATGTGGATCCTGAGAAACTTAACAGAAGACCATGGGGAAGAGGAAGGGGCACAAAAAGTTAGAGAGGGAGGGAGCCAAACCATAAGAGACTCTTAAAACCTGAGAATAAACTGAGGGTTGATGGGGGGTGGGAGGAAAGGGAAGGTGGGTGATGGGCATTGAGGAGGGCAGCTGTTGGGATGAGCACTGGTTGTTGTATGGAAACCAATTTGATAATAAATTTCCTATTAAGAAAAAAAAAGTTAAACAGCCTTTCCCCTAACTTTTGTTGTGGAGTTAAGGGACTCCTTAACAACAAATCAGAACACAACAAATCAGAACTGTCTGAATTTTTCTTGTATGTCCTAAGAACTTTCCTCTTCCACCTAAAACTTGCCTTCCAATTAAATGCCATTTTTGATCATTAGCAATTTTTGCTATATTTGAGTTTTTTGGAGAAAGCTTACAACTTCACATCTCACCAAATGATAAAACCTCAAAGACAAGTAATAATGGCAAAATGGGTGTGGAGATTATCCCCAAATAACTGCATCTCAATACTTAATCAGCAGGAGAACTTGAAAACAGACCATTATCTTTAACTTGGAGGCAAGAAAGCTACTGGGCTGACACGAACACCTGAAGAGCATCCTATCATGTTCACATCCATCAGAAACATTATCTTCCCTGGGTTGGTCAAGGTGACGCTTTGTATGCTTCTGTGTTTTCCTGCATGTCCATGTATTACAGAAAATAGAATTGATGCTTAAACTCCCCTAAGACTAAAACCCACAAAAACAAGTTCAAAACATGAAATTGGCCAGGGTGACTGACAAAGTAACGATTACATATGTGTGTACTACATGATGTATTTTACAAAGTAGTACATCTGTAAGTCGTTGCTCAGAAATATGAGGAAAGAGGCTCACAAACACAGGAAACTGCTAGTTAAGAACACGTATTAACAATGGCATTCTTTTCCCCATGCCCATCACCCAAAGAGCGATGATAGGCTTCCTGAATTCATCCCTCCTCTCCTAAACTAGTCATTTATTTAGAAAAGGCTGGACCAGAAGATCATTAAGATTACCGGATACTCCACATCCATGAGGTCAACTTTCACTCTTAACTATTTCCTGCATACCTTCTAACAAATGCTCAAAAAAGTAACAATGCCTAACAAATTCTTCAAGACTACAGTATCTATCAACCCATGGCCCACAAAATGCTATGCAAGCCACTTTAGATACACAAGTCACCACTAGCTTTATGGTTTTGAGTAAAACCATGGGCAGAGCGGAAAATAATCAATTATTACACTCAAAAAATTTCACCTCATATAAATCTGAATTCGCCAGATAAAACGAAAAAATCCTCCTCAGTAGGTTCATATTACCCAAATTTCAAAACTCCTAAGCAAATGAATATTAAACATGAAACTTGCCAAGACTTGGGCTCTCCAAAGTGGAGATAATTAATGCTGTAGAGGTCCATATCCTCGGTGTGCCACGCGAATGTGGTTTTCCACATGCCAAAATAGAGATAAGGGGTGTTTACACCCTCAATAGAAATACCGCACTCTTCCTCAACCACATCCAAGACCGTATTTAGGCGAGCTATGTTCCATTCATCCACACCCTGGAACCAGGAGAAAGAGGAAAAAAAATCAAATGTTAATAAACTAATAAAAATAGCATTTATTAATCAAACTGTCATGTGCCAAAATTATCATACTGTACACTTAAATTCACTGAGAAATGAAAAATAAAGCAATCATTATTCAGGTAATATATGTATGTATATATCAATTATTAAAGATCAAAGATTACTACTAGCATAATATGGTTCTATATGAACATTAGTATGAAAGTATACCAATAAAATTCCTGACTCCAAATGGAAGTATAAGTTAAGGCTCCACCCCTCAGTTGTTGTTAGCAAAAAATCATTGCTTCAAAGACTATGGTCTGAAGTGTGCTTTCCATTTTTGGCACACGTTTTCTTTGAGGGTGGGGGTAGTTTTTTCTTTTTAAATTATTTATTTGTACATTAGCTTAGAAGTCATATTCAACATCAGACATCATCTCAAGATACTAATAGTAAAATATATCTTCTGCCTTCTCACTCTCATCCCTATGCATTTCAACTTTAGCATGTGATACATTATTTCCTAAAAATTCCACTATAATTATGGGAAAAATTCTTAGCACTTCTAAACCACAGATCATTGTGCTTTTACTGCTCCTTCAACTAAATATTATTCTTTCTATATAAAATTTATTGTCAAATTGGTTTCCATACAACAACCAGTGCTCATCCCAACAGCTGCCCTACTCAATGCCCATCACCCACCCTCCCTACCCTCCTACCCCCCATCAACCCTCAGTTTATTCTCAGGTTTTAAGAGTCTCTTATGGTTTGGCTCCCTCCCTCTCTAACTTTTTTTTCCCCTTCCCCTCCCCCATGGTCTTCTGTTAAGTTTCTCAGGATCCACATAAGAGTGAAAACATATGATATCTGTCTTTCTCTGTATGATTTATTATGCTTAGCATAACACTCTCCAGTTCCATCCACGTTGTTACAAAAGGCCATATTCATTCTTTCTCATGGCCAGGTAGTACTCCATTGTGTATATAAACCACAATTTCTTTATCCATTCATCAGTTGATGGACATTTAGGCTCTTTGCATAATTTGGCTATTGCTGACAGTGCTGCTATAAACCTTGGGGTACAAGCGCCCCTATGCATCAACACTCCTGTATCCCATGGGTAAATTCCTAGCAGTGCTATTGCTGGGTCATAGGGTAGATCTATTTTTAATTTTTTGAGGAACCTGCACACTGTTTTCCAGAGTGGCTGCATAAATATTAACTTCTTATGTCGATGGGAAATTTTAAATACAGAATAATAAAAAAAATCCTTATCCAGACTTTAGTAAAACTGCTGGAATAATATAGTTTTATAGCAATAATGGTGATGATACAGAGAAAAGGATAGAATCACTGATACCAGAGTTTTGGTGATAGGAAAAGATTCTAGTTTTCTTAGAACTTACCAATTATTCAATTATAACTCACAACTGCTTAAAATCTTTACAAACTATGTATTTTTACTATATGCCTTTCTCATAACCACACATAAACATCAGATATTGGGATCATTCCTATGAAATCATGAGGAAACTGCAATGCTTATAAATCCATTTCAATCTCCTTATGATGCTATTAAAAGGGGCATTAAATGCATTTCTGTATAACAGTAAGGCCTTCTCCAATAACTATGCCAATGACCACACAGATCTCCCTTATCCACTAAAAATTTTCAGGGTTGTTCTGTTTTAATATGGTCTCTAGATGATTCTCTAATCAGTGTACTAATCTTACTTCCTCAAGCTTTGGGTTAGCAAAATTATTGATGCAGCAGTTAATGAAGCTCTGCCTCAGGTAACATAATTAAAAGTCCCAAGGGAAATAATTTAATTCCCAAATTTCCCTAAGCAGCCACTCTATCTACAGCTTAAAACTCCACAGTGTTAAGTCTGCTATTTGGAAATTGGTCAAAACTAGTATCCTTTTAGAGAAAATCCTAGGTTCCAATTTATGAGACTTCATAAAAATTAAATCAAATTCTATAAAATGTTTTATCTCACTCTATTTATAGTATGCAGCCTCTTAACTCTAGTCCAATCAGACCTCAGCCCAATCACTCTAATAATAGATTCCTATTTGAAAGTCATTACTGAGGCAATGAATCTGAAGTAATAAATGAGCAACATATTATAGAAATCATTTTAAACTGAATGAGCTTGAGAATTTACAAACAAACTATTTCTCTGAAATTCCTACATTTGGGGAATTCTTATCTTTATTTCTGCCATTATCTTTCAGAAATAACTAAGGCTGAATCCCTTGACATCCCTCGACATGCAGGTCTGAGAGGAAAAGGTAGAGAAAGCGTGCTGAGAGAAGACCCAGATTATGGCCCCAGCTCCGCCACTGACCAAGGTAAAAATCACTGAGATTTCCTGAGCTTCCGTCTGTCTTCGAGAAAACATGAGAGCTGCAGCACTTCCCAGAGTTACTCAGAGTACTGAATGGTCTAAAGGACACAAAGCCTTTGGGAATAACACTTATTATTTCTTAGAACCTACGAAATGAACACCTCCACTATTCTGTAGTATATCTTACTAGCAAGCCTCCAAAACAACAAGGAGATAAGTGATTAAAAAAAAAAAAAGTTCTGTGAAATTCACTACTGGTTCTTTCCATTAGTGGGCAAATAACATGTTTGCAGCACTTTCTTCTAGGTAAGGCCAAGGTTACCACGATGCTGAAACCTAATTTATTTTGCTAAAATAAAAAGTCATATCATTTCAATTAAAGAGCGTATTAAAATATTAAGAGTAACTGGTATACTGGAGACTAAAAATAAATCTTACTGCTTCAAAATTCCTTCTCCAATTTGTGTTCTCTACTATTGACTGAACTAACCACCACCAAAGACAGGCTCTGCTGAAACACTTAAGAGTCCAGATTTAGACAAGGAGAACATCTAGTCTGTCATTTAACTAAGTTGTTGTGCCATACTCTACCCCATTATACTGCACATACATACACACTATACCTATTCAAAACAATCCTGTAAAATAGGTAACATTATACCCAAATGAACAAATGGAAAAACTAATACTCCTAGCTAGTAGTAGGTGGCAAAGATAAACCTAAATCTGACTCCTGAGCCATCATTTCTAAACTCTATGCTTCCAGTTCTGATCATCTTAAAATACAATGTATCATCCCCTTCTCTCAGCCTCCTCAACAAATATCCAAGGAGCTAAAATTCAGGACAGGCAAACATATAAAGCTCCCATTATTCCCACCCACGGGTACAGCCATCCAACACAAACACTAGTAAGGCTTAAAATGCAAGCCTCTTTTTTTTTTGTTTGTTTGTTTAATTTTTTTTTTCAACGTTTATTTATTTTTGGGACAGAGAGAGACAGAGCATGAACGGGGGAGGGTCAGAGAGAGAGAGGGAGACACAGAATCGGAAACAGGCTCCAGGCTCTGAGCCATCAGCCCAGAGCCCGACGCGGGGCTCAAACTCACGGACCGCGAGATCGTGACCTGGCTGAAGTCGGACGCTTAACCGACTGCGCCACCCAGGCGCCCCAATGCAAGCCTGTTTTACTGTGGGAGTGGTAACAGAACTCATTTACTATAAAAGCAGTCTTCAGAAAGACCCTAGATACAAACAATAACAGGTCAGAATTTGCCCAACTATTCAAAGCTTACAGTTAATGAGTCTTAGCAGAAAGTCTGAACACCAGCCCAAGTTCATAGACAAATGCCTCTTCTGAGATTCCATCCCCCTCAAAAAAAGCTCTCCACACAATGTTCTGCAGGTGCTTGAGCAATATTTGTCATTCACTTGACCTCCACTGGGGCAGACATTTCCTGTCAGATCCCCACTCCCTCCACTCCAATCACCCCATCCAGTCAGCTTCCTGGGCCCTCTCCTGCTCCGTTTGTCTTCTTACCCTGTGTCTGTCATGTTTTCTGAAATAATTCACCATAAAGCCCTTGTTCTCCAAAATTAGTCCTAAATCATTAACCTGGCACTCTCTCATTTAGGGCTTTCCACATCTTCATTGCCATCACTCTATATTCTGTCCTCAAAATTGTCAATATCCAACCACATGTTTCTCTCCCTACCCCCCATCTCCTGCCATTATCCTCAACACCTTCAATGTTATCCCAATGGGGCTACTTTCCAAACAATATTATGAGCCCCCAATCTTTCTCCTGAGTTTCAGTGGCATATGCCCCACTCTAAGCTGGATTCACAATGACCAACAAAAATTTCTGAAATGTAAGAATTATAAGGGGAAAATATCATTCTATTCAAAAACCCAACTATTAAAAAAATAAGAATCACCACCTAGAAGCTATAAGACTGAGAAAATACTGAAAGAATTATTAAAGATTCTAACGATTTCAGGTCTGCCCCTGATTCAAATGAGGTTATTAAAAAAAAAAAATACAGGGGCACCTGGGTGGCTCAGTTGGTTAAGCATCCAACTTCAGCTCAGGTCATGATCTCACGGTTCACGAGTTCAAGCCCCTCAACGGGCTCTGTGCTGAAAGCTCAGAGCCTGAAGCCTGCTTCGGATTCTGTGTCTCCCTCTCTCTCTGCCCCTCCCCCACTCATGCTCTGTTTCTCTCTCTCAAAAATAAATAAAAACATTAAAAAAAATTTTTTAAATAAAAATACAGAGAAATCAAATTACGGTATTCTGACACAGAAACGTCATTGAGTTATAACTGGATGTTGTGCTCTTGGTCTTTATAAGAGCTGACATAGCTAGCACCTATTTAAATCCCCTCTCTCAAAGTCTACCAACTGCAGAACTGGGGACATCTTTTACACCTAATAACATCCCTCATCAAATTATTAAGAACAAAGCAATGTATGCAAAATGTATTTTAAAAATTAGTAAACAAGTTTTGATAAAAGGAAAATAACATTTTCTTTATATCTGACATCTACCAAAAAACTAGTACCAAGTTCTGACACTGTACAGGTACTTGGTAATTATTTTATTAATGCAGAGACCTAAAATGCACTGGGATAATCCCCATGCTAGCAAAACAGAGGCAAAACACCCTCATTTTACAGTTGGAAGCAAGATACTCAATAATTTAACAGGCCTCCTTGTTTGAAAATTAGTCCAGTCAGTCTCCTCAGTAGTAGATGTATTGTCTGTCTAGTGAATCATAATTCTTTATAATCAATCCCTTGAGAAATAGCGGAGCTGGTCCCATTTTTATAACTCAGTATTATTACATACTGTTTCTCATAGGACATTACAGTGAGGTATTTTTTTTTTTAGATATTTTTACTTAAACCAATTAAATAAAAATACTAAATTTTAAGCATTTTTTAAAAGAGTATGCTCTTCCTCATTAGGCTTTTACCATCGCTTTTAATGACCCTATCACAGTCCGGCCAACTAACAAAAGACCAGGCACCAATCTCCACTAATTCACCAGGAACTTAGAGATAAATTACTGCCACTAATTTATATGGCTTTAACAAGCCCTTGAAGTTTCAAAGGTAATGCACATGGGGAAAGAAAAATAAAACTTGGTTAGTGCTTTAAAGAATTCAAACTTCAATCCATTTTACACAGTAATGAGTGAAAAGTGTACCTTTCCATAACTAAAATGAAAGCTCATGGTCCACATTTTATTTATTTTTTTTTATTTTTTTTTTATTTTTATTTATTTATTTTTTTATTTATATATGAAATTTATTGTCAAATTGGTTTCCATACAACACCCAGTGCTCATCCCAAAAGGTGCCCTCCCCAATACCCATCACCCACCCTCTCCTCCCTCCCATGGTCCACATTTTAAAACAGACTGAGGATTTCCTTCAGATCTTTACACAATAAAAATAAATTACACCCAAATGAAATTCATTCTGCTTTAAAATTAATTACAGTGTGTGACACTGTAGCTCTTTTTGTTTCTTCCTTTCCATAAAAACGTCTCACATCTCTAAACTTATTCGTTTTAATTTTTTTAAGTTTGAGAGAGAGTGGGGAAGGAGTAGAGAGAAGGAGAGAAAGAATCCCAAGCAGGCTCTGTGCTACCAGAGCAGAGCCCAATGCAGGACTCAATCTCCTTACGAACCATGAGATCATGACCTGAGCCTAAATCAAGCGTTGGACACTTTACCAACTGAGCCACCCAGGTGCCCCTAAACTTATTAGTTTTAAAACAGACCCCCTTTCCTCAAAAAGTTAAAATAGAACTACCCTATGATCCAGCAATTACACTGCTAGGTATTTACCCAAAGAATACAAAAATACTAATTCAAAGGGATACATGCACCCCCATGTTTATAACAGCATTATCAATAATAGCTAAATTACGAAAACAGCCCAAGTGCCCATCGAATAATGAGTGTATAAAGAAGACATGATATATGGGGTGCCTGGGTGGCTCAGTCGATTGAGTATCCAACTTTGACTCAGGTCATGATCTCACGGTTCGTGAGTCCAAGTCCCGTATCAGTCAGTGTAGAGCCTGCTTCGGACCCTCTGTCTCTCCCTCTGCCCTCCCCTGCTGGCTCTCTCTCTCTCTCTCTCTCAAAATAAATAAATAAAATGTTTTAAAAAGTTAAAAGAAGAAGATGTGGTATGTATATATGTATATATATATAATGTGTGTGTGTGTGTGTGTGTGTGTGTGTGTGTG